ACAGGTTTCCATCCAAACTGTTTGAGGAATTCATCCTAAATTTCTTCATAGGAAACTTTAGAGTTGAATAGTTTTTGCTCATTCTTGTGAAATGTTAAGGCAGCTTTATTAAGATCAAATGTATTGTCACTTGTCATATTATTTATGTGATTATTGAATGGTTGCTAGTACCAAAGAAGACATGAGTCAATATGTAAGTTTAATGTGTATTTATTACTGAATCAGTTTCCAAGATGGCGGGAACACATGCCATATAGAGCGACATCTATATAACAACCCCAACTAAAACACAGTCACAATCAAGTATGATGTACATTACATTTTGATTTACCAAGTCTTTCATATAGATGGCACTCATTGTCCCATGCTGGCCCATGGGCATACCGCGGATCATTAAGGAGCGATTGAAAATTTATGAGTTCTGTCAGGACATCAGCTACAACCAATTTTGTTTTTGGCAAGACAACAGTTGAATCATCTATATCGTCACATTGATTCTTTTTTAAACTAGCAACCTTCTCTTTGGTAGGAATACAGCCCATGTCTCCGGTATGTTTTGAATTATGCAATGTCTTATGTATGTCGAAAATCCCTGCAATCAGTTCACATTTGCTGAATACATGTGCAGTAGTTCTGGAAAAAAGATACAGAATACCATTACAGTTTAATATGATATACAGTAAAACCTGTCTTATTGAACACCTGTTTCTAGCTAACAGTCTATTATATACTCGACTTTATAAATTTATAAATTAATACCCTCTCTTTAGCAGGGTTCTCACTAGGCTTTTAGAATCCAGAGATTCTCTGGAGTCTAATGTTTTTAGATCCTCTTGCTCCAGTTTTGTCACATTATTTGTGGTAAAACTCTTGAGAAAATACATAAAACTGGATAAAAAGAAGGAATAGGAGGTCAGAAACCTTTTAGAAATGTATATTTTTATTAAAATAGGATCTTCAGTAGTATTTTGAAAAGTATACTAATAGGATATCTCTGATCTCACATGGGGGAGGAGTAGTCATGATACCACAAAAAATCAGGGGTTTAAAAATTTCCTGCTGAGAACGCTGCTTTAGTTAACTCCTACCTACACTGAACATTTTTTTGCCAAGAATATAATAATATACACAGTATATTACTGTATGCTATTCTTATTTTTTTGTATATATTTTTATTCTTTTGTTCATTATGTAATTTTTCATTCATTTAAAATGTGTATCTATGCCTTAATATCTCAATATTTCTTGCACTAAATGTTTATTATAAAACCTTACCTCTGATGAATACGTGATCAAAGTATTTTGTTTGCAGAATTAAAATTTTATTTCTTCTAGCTCCTCTCACCTTTATGCAACAAATGATCTGTAACATCGCTACCTGATCCATTAACATCAGTTAATTTTTTTTTACAAATTATCACCTTCTTACACTAGTGACGTAGGTTATTTTCCAAACAAACCAAGTTTGATAGGGATATCATGAATGTGAAGCCCTCCATCTGTCAGTCCTTCCATCTGTCTGAAGCATAACTTAAATACTAGTTGATCAATTTTCTTCATATAAAATATATCTTTGACATATGTTCCATGTTTTCCGCCACAATCCCCAGGGGCTGTGTGGGGAATACAGGAATTTTTTTAATTTTGAGATCTCTCTGAAGCATAGCTAAATTATGAAAGGTAATTTAGAGTAGATTGCAAATATTGTATCATTTTTTTTGATTTGTGCCTTGGAAAATTCAAAAAGGTTGCCTATAATGTGGGATTTCGCAATAATTTCCAAATCTCTTCAAAGCAATATTAGACTCAAATTGAAGGAATTTTGAATTATTTTGAATTATGTCAATGTCTTATGTATGTCGAAAATCCCTGCAATCAGTTCACATTTGCTGAATACATGTGCAGTAGTTCTGGAAAAAAGATAAAGAATACCATTATAGATACAGTTTAATATGATATACAGTAAGACCTGTCTTAGTGAACACCTGTTTCTAGCGAACTGTCTCAAGTAGACACCCTTCTTATATTCTCGACTTTATGAATTTATAAATTACCCTCTCTAGCAGGGTTCTCACTAGGTTCTCACCAGAGATTCTCCGAAGTCTAATGTCTTTAGATCCTCTTGCTTCAGTTTTATCACATTATTTGTGGTAAAACTCTAGAGAAAGTACATAAAACTGGATAAAAAGAAGGAATAGGAGGTTAGAAACCTTTTAGAAATGTATATTTTTATTAAAATAGAATCTTCAGTAGTATTTTGAAAAGTATACTAATAGGATATCTCTGATCTCACATGGGGGAGGAGTAGTCTCGATACCACAAAAAATCAGGGGTTTAAAAATTTCCTGGTGAGAACGCTGCTTTAGTGAACTCCTACTACCTACACTGAACATTTTTTTGCCAAGAATATAATAATATACACAGTATATTACTATATGCTATTCTTATTTTTTTATATATTTTTATCGCACTTTGAAAAAGTGCTATATTGTCGTCGTCTTGTGCTGTTGGGCGGGCGGGCGGGACATAAACCAAATCTTGTCATCAAATTTCCAGGATAACTGCTTACCTGTTCAACTTGAAATTTTTACAGATGCAAGAGCAGACTAGTACCAAGATCTGATTAGGTTAAGAGCATGCTGGGTAAACTACGTGGCGGCCATTTTGAATTTTTCAACTTGCTCCAAATTGACCAAATTTTTTTTTTAAAAACATCTACAAGTTCTCAGAAGTTCAAATCTGACCTTAGATTTCAGATTTGACCTTTCGTTCACCTTCAATGACCTTGAAAAGATCAAAAAAGTTGATTTTCTAAATTGATATTTTGGATTTAAATTTAGGTCAGCTTAATTACAAAACACCTACTGAGGTCTGAAAAAGTGAAATTTTCAAGGTCGAAGGTCAAGGTCATTAAACTAGGTCATAAATGATGTTATCCAAGTTTCTCAAAGTTTGAGACTACAAATCAATTCTTGTCATCAAAATTCCAAGAAAACCGCTAACCTGTTCAACTTGAAATTTTTACACATGCAATAGCAGACTAGTGCCAAGATCTGATTAGGTTTAGGGCATGCTGGGTAAACTAGGTGGTGGCCATTTTGAATTTTTCAACAAATCTTGTCATCAAAATTCCAGGAAAACCACTTATCCGTTCAACTTGAAATTTTTACAGATGCAAGAGCAGACTATTGCCAAGATCTGATTAGGTTTTGGGTATGCTGGCTGAATTACATGGTTGCCATTTTGAATTTTTCAATTTGGCGGCCATTTTTAATTTTCAACTTGCTCCAAATTGACCAAATTTTTTTTTAAAAACATCTACAAGTTCTCAGAAGTTCAAATCTGACCTTAGATTTCAGATTTGACCTTTCGTTCACCTTCAGTGACCTTGAAAAGGTCAAAAAGTTGATTTTCTAAATTGATATTTTGGATTTAAATTTTCAAGGTCACAAACAATGTTATCTAAATTTTCCAAAGTTCAAGACTACAAATAAATTCTTGTCATCAAAATTGCAGGAAAACCGCTAACCTTGTCAACTTGAAATGTTTACAGATGCAAGAGCAGACTAGTGCCAAGGTCTGATTAGGTTTTGGCCATGCTGGGTAAATTGCATGGTGGCCAGTTTGCTCTTCAAAGTGCGATATTTATCACTGTGTGTCTTGTTATTCTTTTGTTCATTATGTAATTTTTCATTCATTTAAAATGTGTATCTTTGCCTAATATTTCAATATTTCTTGCACTAAATGTTTATCATAAAACCTTATCTCTGATGGTGAAGTGAAGTGATCAAAATATTTTGTTTGCAGAATTAAAATTTTATTTCTTCTAGTTCCTCTCACCTTTATGCTACAAATGATCTGTGTAGCATCGCTACCTGATCCATTAACATAATTTTTTATTTTTTTTACAAATTATCACCTCACATTAGTGATGTAGGTTATTTTCTCAACGAACCAAGTTTGATAGGGATATCATGAATGTGAAGCCCTCCGTCTGTCAGTCCTTCCATCTGTCTGAAGCATAACTTAAATACAAGTTGATCAATTTTCTTCATATTTCGGGAAAGGATGTATATTGGTAAAAACTTTTACGCAAAAAAGCATTTTTTGGAGATGGCCATTCATCTCTTAATAGGCTACTTTCTAGAAATTTTCAATTTCGTCATCTGAAGTGTAACGAATCGTTTTTTCAACTCTTCCTCTACCATATTGGTTTCATGAAAACAATGTGCATGTTTCAACTTGCTCGCTTATGTTCACGAATGAGAGTTTTTATCCTACAATTATTAATTGCCATGATTACAGTATCATTTCCTGATATTTAAATCAGTTATTTATAGCCCAATTTATAGCAAAAGGCAAAGATAAGCACACATCTGCGTAAACTAATCGCTATAAATTTTTCAGTATCAGTCATATCCTGGATGGAAATCTGCCAGGCATTGGAATACTAAACAGTATCCAAATGGTGACATCATTTTCACTCTGTATCCCACGCTAAGTTGAGAGTGCGTGTAAATACAGAATATATTTAAGTCGCATGGATCAATCAGGTTGCAGGGAATTTCACCATCATGGAATAATGATCCATCTTCAATACCTGGGTTTATTATCAGGGTAGAGTAGATGGTATAGATTATCTTGTGACTTACTGATACATAGATATTTTGTTTGTTACGATTTTCTAGTGTTTTTTTTGTATATAGTAACTGAAGAATAGAGTAATTTTTTTATATTTTATAAGTGAATACTTAGAAGCATATTGCACTGTCTAGTAATAGTAGGTCATATCCGATAATGGCATCCATGGCTGTTAGATGGGATTTGCTGTGCTTTGGCATTGCTGTTATATAGTTAGACAACAGTCACTGGGACTCTAAGACTACTTTTTGTACTGATAGAGCTACCCAGAATTAATATAGCGTTCATCAGATCAAACAACTCATATTCATATATATATAGTATATAAATACACTCTAGAACTATGTATATATTTTCAGTTGGAGCCATATATGGATGAGATGTTTCTACAGCAGGCATTCCAAAGTATGGGAGAGTCAGTTCTCAATGTGAAACTTATCAGGGACAAAGTCACAAGGTAAAGTATGCATGTAGGTTTCAACTACATGAAATGTCAAATAAGGAATTGGAAAAAGTTGACCATTCATAGAGTTGTTTCCCTACAAGGCATGCTTGAAATATTGATTCTCACTCTGAATGCAAAAGACCAGGTTTCTTATGGCAAGTGATTTTGGACAGTCATAATACAGTTCAGTGGTTTTTATTAATAGACTATAAAACAACATGTTTTCTTTCAAGTCCCCATGATAATAAAATTATTAATCCAACTCTCTGAAAATTATGGATCAGGACCCCACCTTGGCACTTTAAGAAAAATGTTTGGCTTCTTTCTAAAGGGGATCTTGTTTTTCTTAATTTGAAGATATCAAAAGCTTCTACATAATATTAATAACTTCTAAAAATGGGATGTGGATTGAAATCTCAAATCTCATGTTATTTTTCCATAGGTAAAATTCATGCTATCCTTTGTTTTCCCTAGGATGAAGAAAATTGATATCTTCAAAACTAGACTTTCAATCCATTCTACTTTTGCAGAAATTCTAGACCCCTTGTTCAATATTCTTGTACATGTAATGTGTTTTCAGAGTCCTTGCTGGTTACTGCTTTCTCGACTTTAGTAGTCCCGAAGAAGCTCAGAGTGCCATGCTCAAGCTCAATGGAAAAATTGTGCCTAATACAGTACCTGTGAGTATTATGTATGAGCCTTGTTTACTTAATTGACATTTTAATTGATTTTTTCAGCATGAATAAGTAGTGGTAGGTTGAGTTACATTTACAAAAACATTATTCTAATCTCAGTTACAAAAAAGACTACAACATATCGTTCATTTGAGAAAACAGAATTACATCTTTGCTAAGGGCTGATGTGAAGAGCTTGGTTGCGATTGAAACCACCACTTCATTATTGGTCTACTGTTGATACATTTTTATCCCACCAAACGAAGTTCGAGGGGGATATAGAAAAGCCGTTCGTCCGTCCGTTCGTCCGTCCGTTCTTCCGTCCGTCCGTTCGTCCGTCCGTTCGTGTGTCCGGGCAATAACTCAAATACCGGTTGACGGATTTCATTCAAATTTTATAGGCTTATGCCTTATGGGTGTAGGACCTCTGCTCGAGAAGGAATTTTCAATATGGCTGCCAAATTCAAAATGGCAGCCATTTTTCCCAAAAAATATAATCTTTGATAACTCAAATACTAGTGGATGGATTTGGTTCAAATTTTATATGCTGTTGCCTGAGTACAAAGGAGCCTTGCTCAAGAAGACATTTTCAAGATGGCCGCCATATTTAAAAATGGCGGCCATTTTTTAGAAAAAACGTTATGTTTGATAACTCAAATACCATAGAATGGATTTGGTTCAAATTTTACATGCTGATGCCTAGGGACATAGGAGCTCTGCTCGAGAAAGAATTTTCAAGATGGCAGCTAAATTTCAAAATGGCCGCCATTTTTCATAAAAGAACGTAACCTTTGATAACTCAAATACCAGTTGATGGGTTTAGTTCAAATTTTATATGCTGATGCCTAGAGACAAAGAAGTTCTACTCAAGAAAATATTTTCAAGATGGCCACTGAATTTCAAAATGGCCGCCATTTTTCGTAAAAAAAACGTTATCATTAATAACTCAAATACCAGTGGATGGATTTGGTTCCAATTTTATATGCTGATATTTAGGGAAAAAGGAGATCTGCTTCAGAAGAAATTTCAAAGGCATCAGCTGAATTTCAAAATGGCTGGCTTTTTTCATAGAAAAAGTTCGTCTTTGATAACTAAAATACCATTGGACGGATTTACTTCAAATTTTATATTCTGATGCCTAGAGATAAAGGAATTCTGGTTGAGAAGAAAATTTCAAGGTGGCTGCTATTTATCGAAATCTCCGCCATTTTTCATTAAACATGTAATCATTATCCTTGATAACCCAAGTACCAGTTGACGGATTTGGATTAAATTGAATATGCTGATGCCTTGGGACATAGGAGCTCTGCTAAGGAAGAAATTTAAAGATGTCAGCTGAATTTCAAAATGGCAACCATGATTCATAAAAACATAATTCTGATAATTCAAATACCGGTATTTATCAAAACATGTTTTGTTCGGTGGGATTTGCTACTCCGTGGAGTTGCTGTTTTTCTAGTTAATTCAGTTAAGTGATGTTTTTATTGGAATGATATATACCAGGTACTCCTTGATTTTGCCATGATTGAATTGTGATGACGTGTTCTTTTTCCAGCCGAAAAGATTCAAGCTAAATAGCGCAAGTTATGGCAAAGAACATCTGCTATCGTGAGTACTTATTCATTCACATATGTTAGCACAGGGATTGCTCTTAAATATTTTTCACTGCTTAGTACTTATATGTCGCAAAATTCTAACCAGATTAATACAATACAACTGAAAGAAGAAAAAATGATTACACAAATAATTTTTCTCCATTCACTTTAAAGTGTTCTATATTTAACGAATAAAGACCCGAGATTTTATGATTTATGGTGTAATATATGACTGAAAATTTTATTCTGTTCATTGTTAAAAGACTGAAATCACGTAGCGATTGAGGTCTTTGGCAATGGCCAGAATAAAATTTGAGGTCATATATTTGACATAAATCATAAAATAGAGGTCTTTGTTACGATTCTAATTCTAACAGACAAGAAAACAACTATTTGCATTGATGAATTTTAGCGGTCATGCATACTCCAATATAGATCAGTAAATCAATTGTTCATGCTATTGTGACGTCACGTATCATATTAGAATATAAAATAAGTGCAATAATTTTGTTTTTTATATTTATTAGTGTATAGTATTTGTCACTGTTCTGATCTATACTTCATAAACATTCAAAATATATTATTATTTTCTTGCAGACCAGAATTTTCTCTTTTTGTTGGAGATCTCACAGAAGATGTAGATGATTTAAAACTTTATACAGCATTTTCCAAGAAATATAAATCCATCAAAGGTGCTAAAGGTAAACAGTCATGTTTTGTATTTTCTTCTACAGCATACAAGTATAAAATAGCTTTATCACTTTTGCCAGTTTTAAATCAATTGATTAATACATTGGAATTGTTGATTACATTTATATTCATTTTGGCTCCTGTATCTCTATATACTCTCTTCTCTGTTATTGCAGTTGTAATTGATTCTAGTGGTTGCAGCAAGGGGTTTGGATTTGTGCGTTTCTCTGAGCAAGCAGAACAAAGGAAAGCTTTGTCTCAGATGCAATACAGTTCTGACGTTGGGAAGAAACCTATACGAGTCAGTTTAGCCACTCCTAAAAGGTAATATAAAGGATGCTACTACTTATATGAGGGTTGTTCAATGAATACTGATACAAACACTCTCATTTTTATGCTCTTCGATTGCGATATTTATCATTCTGTGTCTTTTTAAGTATAAAATAAAGTAGTCCAAATGTATCACTATGTATATTGCCATCTTTGCTGTTTTATGGTACAACAGTTTTAGTATTTCTTGATCGACCCTTGTAGTTGTGTTTTTTTGCTTTATCTATTGCCCTGAGATTTCTCTAAACATTATTGTTGCTATTAAAAAAGTTGTTGATTTTCTTTCTCAGAGATATTTATTTTTGTTTTGATGTTTCGTAGGATGTCCATCCTACTTCTTCAGAAATAAAATTATATTTGAATCAAACTGAAATAATTAATTATAACATAATAATGAGACAAATAGCAACCATTACTATAGAAAATTTCAATGATGTTACAATTAAAAAAATTATTGACTATACATTTGTATTATCTATAGTAACTATTATCTATAGTAACGGTTGCTGTTTGTCTCATTATTATGTAATAATTAATTATTTCAGTTTGATTCAAATATCATTTTATTTCTGAAGAAGTAGGATGGACATCCTACGAAACATCAAAAGAAAAATAAATATCTCTGAGAAAGAAAATCAACAACTTTGTTAATAGTACATTACTACTAGGGGTCACACGGTTAACCGTGGCTTGCGGTTACCGCGGTTCATACCTCCACGACGGTTAGCTCGCACACAATCTTGAAAACCGCGGTTCTTGAAGAACCGTGACATTTTCAGTTTCACTTCAGAAAAATAAAAATGTAAACTCGGAATTAAACTCCATTTCAAGTTTTCGTGTAATACCAATTAACTAAACATCGTCTGGAATCGTTAATCATCATGCAATAATGCGAACCATACCTGATATTTACGACGATCTTCTGATATAGACGGCAGATAACAAAAACAAAAGGAAAATGTTGATAAATTTCACCGGCATATTGACCCAAGGGAAAGATCAATACCCGGTGATTTCAGCGGGAAATGGCGTTTCGTTCATTGGATGAGCTGCGCGCGCACGCATAAATGTGATTATCCAATATAATTAGGGGAGGGCTATTTGAAGTAGTTTTTGGTCTCAGGCGCGACCCAGGGCTGTTGTCTTAAGGACATTTCGTTGAAAATGAGCCATTCGGCTGATAATTGGTAAGAGTTTGCGATCTTATAATGTATAACTGTTACTCAGACACATATTTTGACACGATTCTGTTGGAAATAAGCTTTGAACCGAGAGATATTCACGATTGATATGCACATTTTTGATTGTGCCATTGCTTTTCTATTGCACAACCCATGTATTGATAGAAGAAACATTAATAATACAGATTGGTTTACCTTCAATACATGGCAGACACTACATATCGGTCTATTAATACCAGTTTGTGCCTTAAATAGTTTTATATTTCCATCCACGGCCTGGAGCCTGGGTGTGTTTGTCTCTTATGTGTATGCTTGTGCATGGACTTCTAATCACTAGCAGAATTTAACATGATGCAAACTCGACATTATAACTCATGCTGTAACATTTTGACTTCGCTGGAAAACAATAGGAATTATTTTTCTTGCCAATCAATCATGAATCACAATCAAAATTTCAGAATGATCAATCAGGCAATGATCCAAATCAAGTTATAACATTATATGATATTCAGCAAGAAGTCCGGTAGAAATACAGAATATTTAAACATCAAAGCTGAAAGTTAAAAGCTAATCTGTCAATTTTCTGTCTGCAAAAGAGCGTCCCAAGAGCGTTTACATTTGACACAATAACAGACTGAGGCCTTGAAATCTAGGATTCCCCAGGAAAATATGACGTCATACTAATTAGCATAAGGATTTCCCTATTGGGGTGGGTCGAGCCTTGTTCGAAAACACAATCCATAAATACATGCTAATTTCTAAGGAGATAGGAAGTGTATAACGTGTTTATCGATTTTGTTTAAAGATTTAATCAATTATCAAATTGTTTAAGTGGATAAAGTGGTCACACTTGCTTCAATTCATAGCGAAATCGACGGATAGAAACTGACCGAATTCCCGATATCCTACCCCGTATTACTGTAGGCTATAAGCACAGTGACCTACAGAGGGCGCTATCACAAACAAGTACTGGACGAACCGATAAATTCCCGGGTATTGTAACGCCCTTGATTGACCCGGAAGTGACCTACGCTAAACATTTCGCGCAATCCTATTGGTTGATAGAACAGTATACTGTAAAAAGCCGAACGCCGAATGCATTGAATTTGCGAACGAGTCACGTTCTGTGTATTACGTTCGCCTTTGATCCATGTTGAGTCCTGACAAAGTGTTGAACTTAAGTTATATTTCTAAAGAAAACATTTATTCAGTTTAGTGAAGTACTGTGCTAATTTTGCCAACAGTTGACAAGTTATTTTATGTGTTGAAAAAACTTGAACATCAAACAAGAAGATCAACACAGTGAACACACAGATATTTTGGGAGGGAGGGAGTGAAAAAAGACTGAACAAACAAACAAACATTGTGTGAAACTGGATACTTACAATACTGAATACAATAAAACACTGTGACACACTTAGTATGTTTTCTGATTTTCGGATCAATTTCATATATTTTTGCTAATTTCACGAGGCCCGTGAGAACCGCAATCAGAACCGAACCGAACTGTGAAATACAATAACCGAACCGAACCGTGAAATCTCAAACCGTGTGACCCCTAATTACTACAGGAGAGATGAACATTCATAGAATTATTGTTGCTGTTTCACATGTACATTATAAAGATTATTTGGATAATTATAAAAGTAGAAATGTAAGAGAATTCAGATTTTATATATTTTAGAATAGTGATTTTAACAGTAAGCGCCTACATCACTCATTTTTACTTGAATTCAATTAACAGAGAAATAACGGAAAAACACTTTGTTTATATTTATGAATATTCAGTGAAAAGGACGTTTAAGCTCCATTAGTAATTGTATTCTATTGTAACTTTCCCAAACAAATGGGTGATGAGGCCCTATCCTGTAATTATGTGGCTGAATAATTTTTAAAAACCTTTTAATTTAGCATCAACTTCCTTTGAACATCAGAATGCTTCAATTTTTTTCAGACCTCAACATTCCACATCAGGCAATACATCAGACTACTCATACAACAATCAAGACTATTCTCTACCTAAGAGCCATCAGTATACACAGGGTTACCACTCAGGCTGGCAGTACAACCCTGGCCCCACACAGTACAATTACTACCAGGACTACACGACAGCCTATGGGGATTACAACACTGATCCCTCATATACACAGGTGCGGTAAATATTAAAAATGCTTTTAATTTAAACTGGAGGAAATAGGTGTTGTCCATCGGGTTTCAAGTTAGAAAAATTAATTTTTAAATATATTGTGCCAGGGAGAAATCAGGCTTACCGTATCTTACATTTAAACTCTTAGGTTAATATTTCTATGGTTATCAATGTAGAGATTGAAGGCCTAAACATGAGTCTGTATGCGTTTGATCGCTGGAATGATCTTGTTAGTTATCCAATTAGACAATTTTTGCAGGATTGCTACCATTTCGAGAATGGTTGGAGTTTCATACCAATTAGTACAATGTAATAGATATTAGAGAGATTTAGCAACTCACTCATAGCATGTTTATTATTCCTGTATAACTTATGAAGCGTTTGATTACGTCATCATTTATTGCGCAGCTCTATACGTCCATAAGTGTGATAGTCTTATAATTTGTTGTCTATATGTCAGCATATCCCATTAATCAATGTATAGTGTGCGCAATAAATAATGACGCAATCAAACACATCATAAGTTATTCGGGAATAATAAACATGCTATAAGTGAGTTGCGAAATCTACCTATTAATATATAAAATTTCGCTAGAATATGCATGAACTATATTTTGAAATATGTATCACATACGTTTTCAATATGACTGCCAACCTGACCATACATGTACACTTACATTAAGTAAAAATAAGTAAATCATTTTTTTTCTTTTCTTGAGATTTCAAACCAAATGGGGGTTTGGTCAAAACATGACTGTCACAAAATGTAATTAATCATATTTTGCCTCAAATGTTCCTCTGTAGCTTCTTAAAATGAAACCACAAATGTTGAAAATGAATATTAACCAACTATTTAGCTCTCTTCCCAAAACAAAGAAAATAGCTCATGATGATTTCATGAAAATTGAAGTACCCATGATGATAAAAATATCAATCGAACAATTCGAAAATTATGAATAGGGACCCCATGTCAACATTTAAAAAAAATATTGAACCTATTTACTCAAAAGAGGATCTCCTTTTTCTGATTATTATTGCATGAAAAGATTATTCAACCAGGGGTATAAAACATCTTCAAAAATATAATGGTATTGAAAGTCTAGTTTTGAAGATATCAATTTTCGATGACCAAAATGATGCTGAAAACAATGGATAGCACAAGTTTTCCCTCTGGGAAAATAACATGGGATATGTGGTTTTTAACTTTAACACATTTCAATATGCATCCCCTTTTCAAAAGTTATTAATACAGTGTAGAAGAAACCTTTAACCTCTTGAATCCCAGGCTCTAAAATTGGTTGAAACCAGACAATTTTTTTATTTTTGCCACCTTTTGACATTTTACTACATACCTTTACAATTTTAGATGCTCAAGTTAGTAAAATTAGATGGCAGAGATCATTTTTACACGTTTTAAAACAATTTTTGTGTAAATTGGATGAAAATTGTTTAAATAAGAGCAATTTTTGTGAACAATTTTGTGACGGATTTTCTCGTCCCTCTGGGTTTCAAGGTCATTTCTGAGGTGACGAGAAATCTCGTCATTCTCGGTAGTCAAGAGGTTAATATATTCAAATTGAGAAAAACAAGATCCTCTATTTAGAAAATAATCCTTACATTTTTAAAAAAGTGACAAGTTGGGGCCCTAATCCATAATTTTTCAGAGAGTTGGATTGATATTTTATTATCATGGGGACTTCACTTGAAAGAAAACATATTGTTTTAATAAAAACCATGGTCAAAGATATGACTGTCTTAAATCACTTGCCATACTGCACATGGACCTTTACTAAAATTAAAAATAATGCCTTTGCTTAATTTTGCCGAATCTCTAAAATTCTGCCAAATTCTGCCAAAGAACAGGTCCATTCAACACTTTTTTCCCAAAAAGCTCAGTTTTCCATTTTCTTTTAAAACCAATTGCATGCTGTAGATAAACCTTTTGTCTTGAGATGTGCAATTTCAAAAAGTGATGTAAGTTTTCAGTTTCCTGCTTCTGCTAACCCATTTCTAAGGCAATCCAATTACTCACCTGTTCACTTCTAGAGTCATCTACAGCTCTAATTTAAATGAAAAAATGTCAGAATTAGAAAAGAAGAATATGTTCAAACTTTTCATGACTCCCTTACTTTGAGTTAACACACGAAACTAGGTTTGAAAATCAGTTGCCGCATATTCCCATATTCATCCATAGTTTATGTCATCTCGTGACTTTTAGGCCCATGTATGACACAGAAGTCTGGGATTTGTGTGGATGTTTGACATTGGCAGCTTTGCCTAAGAAATATATACAAACTGCTTCCTTGTGAACCATGTTTTACTGGTTTACTTTACTAACAAATCGGTAAATCAAATGCTTTATTAACATACAACGAATGTAATATATCACAAACGAAAAAATTAATTATTCGCATAACACAACCTGCATAAAAATGCATAAATTTCCAGTTTTGGAGCGAATATTCGGGGTAAAATGAGGATTTACTGGCTGACTATTTGGTATGAGAATCTACTATTCGATTTAGCCCAAGTACACACTTTGTTTACCATCAAAACAATGTCAAAACTTATCATTATGTCTCCAACAAAAAAGTGGTGACATAGTGTCTTTAAATTTTAGATTTCACCTTCAATGACCTTCTCATTGAATGTGTTCTATGGATCTGAGTTCGAAAAGTCACGTGACCAAAAGTTCGCCATTATTACCTTATATGGCAAATCATCAAGGCAACGATCACGACGTCATATGTTGTGATTGTGATGAAGATATGATGTGATATCACATAAAATATGACATCAGTCCAATATTGCCTCATCAACTAAACAAACAACAAGCTAAACGTCATTCATCACTGTTGATTATATTTTAATTTGTGAGGTCATTAACATGTTACTAAACCAACAGAAAACAAGCATTTAGTTTGTTCATTGTGTTTCTCTGTGATATTTTCATAAAAAGTGGATCAGTTTTGTCAAAATAGCATTATGGCCTTCATATTTTTCTAGTGTCATTTTCACTAGATTATCTTGTTACTGAAAGTTTTTTCTGAATATTGAAGGAGAAATCTTATTTAGACACAATTTTGCTGACTAATGGAGGTTCAGAAATCCAAATAGTCTTTAGTAGATGAATAAATGTTTCATTTCTATACTACAAAAATAGAATATTGCGAGTATACCCTGATTTGGTGGCCACCATACACTCTGACTGCTCTAAATGATTTGAACGAAGAGTGAAGCTCTAGCAAAGGGTAATTTATTATTAATCAATGAAATAAAATGAAATTTCATTCAGGACAACTTCAAGGTTTGTGTACAAATGTTAGATAAATTACAATTATGAGTCCAAATGTTAGACAAAATTGTCCTTAAAATATGTTTGAATAAGATAAGGGATTGGTGATCCTTCAGTTTTTGTTTGTTTATTTAAGACTTTATCAGCACTAGACTGAAGAGGAACAAGTATAGTGCCGAAATCTGAACATTTTTTATTATATTTTGATTGATGACCTGCAATGCAAATTTATGCTTGTTAAAATGCCATATCTAATGCTTTAATGGGATAGAAGCATTGTTATTTTCATTATTTGATTGATTAAATCAATATTTTCGACTGACTTATTGCAGTTTCTCGATTCATTTAGTCTGTAATGCAAAGGTGATTTTTGAATAAAGCAGTTTCAACAAATATTCATAAATTATCCCACATTTGAAGTTGAACTTGGATGATAACATGCAATTGTAGTCAAGATATTTTTAAAATGTGAGAAAAAAGCAATACCCATGTAATAGAGAGATTAATTCACAGATATTACTTTTTCCATGGATTAAAAACCCCCACCATTGTGCCATGTATTGCTACTAAGTACTGTGATTTATTTCAAAATAAACTGAATGTGAAATGCGCAAAATGCATCGTTGAGTTTTATAGGTAAATTATTGGAAAAATAGAAAATCGTATGATTTTTTGCGGTTATTTTGATGAAGTCATCGGTTTTATTCAGCTTATTAATATCTACACTTGCACTCATTTGTTGTTTCTCCAACTTGTCGATCGAGATATTGATATCCACTCATTAGTATGTTTCAGTCAATTTGTTAGATTTAGAAGAAGGTCTTCAATGGGTAGCCTTCAATGTACATGTGTATGTGATTCTATAATCTTTATGACAATGTTCTCTGTGTTTTTGTCTGGAATTTCCTTCTTTGAGTGATCACTATTGAAATGAGTTCCCAATGGAGAAAAGTGTCAAATAGTACAATAACGTCATTTCGAAGGGCAATATAGTGAAATATTGGACTGAGGGACGATATTTCACTATATCGCCAGCAGAAATTAATGACCATGACTGAAACAGCAAGAAAATCCTACGCACTGAACGGTATCTAATTTCCCGGGGAAAATTGCCGGTCATCAGTTGCATTATTGACCGGCAATATGGACCGCCACTATGACACCAGGCCCGTAGCCAGGATTTGCCAAGGGGGGGTTCAGTTTTCAAAAATTTCCAGGGGGGGTTCACATTTGGCAATTTTGGCCCAAATATGGCTAAAATCATTTGAGAAATGCTCAAAATGGTGAAAAACTGCATGATTTTGAAAGAGTTTTTGGCCAGGGGGGGGGTTCGTCCGAACCCTGCGAACCCCCCCTGGCTACGGGCCTGAACACGACATATTGTACAGGTCGATGTAGTAAAATGAATGCCTTCTAAACTAGCACGTAAACCCCTAGAACTGGCTCGGCAAGGTGGTAATAATAGATGTTATCGAAACATGTTTTCCGCTTACTGATTGGTTTTGAAAATATCACTGTGATGCGTTTGAATTGATTCATGACCTGGGGTGTGATGGCCACTGGCATTGAGGGTGGGGCTGCTAATAACAGTAAAGTCTAACCTATTTAGGGGTATTAGATGTTCATAAGAAAGATAAGTAAGGTAGAGAGAAGAGGGATGGCATTTTAAGGGGTTGAACCAACATATCAATTTCTGTCAATGGCATAATTAATTTTGTTTGAGGTTTGGAACCCAAGGGCATTTTCATAATGTGACACTGTAAAATAAGTCACATTTGCTTTAAAATCAACAAATGAGGTTAAAATAAATTTTGAAATGATGTTATTTGATGACTAATTAATATTTTTCATGTTTATATACTACATCATTTAATAAATATTCACTCATATCACAAGCTTTCAAAAGAGGTTCAACACTTTTACAGAATACAATAGGTTGCTGATCAATTAAGAAAAATGATCCCTTGTCTTTACTAATTTAAATAGTTTCACAGTGTACTTGCATACTTTGACCTCCAGTAGTTCACATTTACAACTATAATGTAGACATTTACTAGCCTATCTATCTTCAGATAAAATGTGTGAAATTGACAGTTCTAACTTAACTGTTTGTGTCGTTAACTTGTCAATGTATATCTGGTGTACAACTTTACATATGTTAGATAAAGCTGAGAAATACCATGTGGGTTCATCTTGATAATTAGAGTGTAAGTACATATGTGTACAATATATTCATGTTCAGATCTAATAATTGGGGACCTACATTTTATTTTTGACCAGAGAGAAATATTGTTTCCCTTCTACAACTAAAATTGGATCATTTCGTCTTACTATGCAAGGAATATTTTTCAAGCTTCAGTATTTACAGAAAAGAAGGTTGTTTGAAGTCTGTTCATGATGTAAATTGCAGTGTTATTATTCTTTATTCTTTAAATTTTCATATTATCTATATATGTCCATTTTATTAAACCCAAAATGTTGTTCTCACTTTACTTCAGAAAGAGATTAACTTTTTAGAATGGGCAATTCAAACTTGTCATTTTGTGTAAAATTGCAAGTAGCTAGTCCTTGGGAGAATGAATATATTAAGCCCTACCTGCTTACCATGAACCTATAACAGAGTTTTGTATGTCTTTCCAGACTCCTGCTGCTGCTAGCGCTACCACTACGGCAGCTGAGAGCACAACAACCACAGAGGATGAGACCCTCGTTGACCCAGAGGTGGACATGAACTTTGAAGCAGCCCACCAAGAATACATGAAGCACAGTGAGGTGAGAAATACATTCTTTTTACATGAACTGGCAAGAGACACAACACTTTTTACAGATTTGATATGTTTAGTAATCATATTCCTCTGTTAAAAAACTATTATACATCTTGGCAATTCCCTAAGGTGATGTCATCCCAAGGGTTAGTCCATCAATAAAATCTATCCCTCAGGGGAAAGACCAGCTACATTTGTTTCACTCGCCGTTTCCCAGCAATATTATCTTCAGAAAAGGTTTAAAAATCATTAGCAATGCTGCACAGAGTACATGTTAAAAAGTCTTTATGAACCTTATATTTGTTCTTCCAGGAGCTATATGAAGTATTGGAGGATTCAAGGTGGCAAATATTGGACTCTATCACTTCAAAAATACCAATTGCGGCACAAGTGTCTTCATGACACTCGATAATGGACAGAAATGTGTAACATTATTTTCCTGAAATGAAATATTTCAAATGACTTGAATAATGACCGACTATTTATGGACATGAACATCAAGTCCATGGGCTGTGGTATCAGCAAATGTCAAACTCTATCATACATCATCTGGAGATGAAATCGATAGGCTCCTCCTAGTAGCTGTCAAGTCCATTGCTATTGTTCCGGATATGTAATGTATATATTTATATATGTTACGTTGAAATATAGAATTGATAAATAAGTTATGTTGTTATTTTTGTTATTGTTATTTGTTTATTGCATGCATTAATCAAGAGCTTTGACATACATCGTGGGCTTTCAATAGATGCATACATGTACATGGTGTTCAATAAGTAATGATAAAAATGATGTTACTATTTCATTTTTTCATATTTCTGACTAATTTTTCTACTGTACATTGTTGAGTATTATACTGGTACATTGTGAAAGTTACTGAAATGTGCTCCAACAGGAAGGTGGTGCTGGGTTGAGTCAACAGTGGTTCATGGTGGATCAGGTCTGCAAGAAAAAGTCAAAATTACCAACTTGAAATGTGAATATTGCTCCTCGGTCTATTGCTTGGGCACCAACTTGTGAAACATCAATGCAATTTCTACATCATTATGAATAACATGTCGTGTGATTCTTACACTTGAATCAGTCATGTCTGTAAATTTTCTGATGGGAATTTTTCTGGTTTCATCTAATATTTCTCTCGCTACATCTATCTGATTAGGGGAAGTTACAGCTTTTGTTTGGTTGCCTCAGTCTGGGTTCATCTTCAATCGACTTTCTCCCTCCTTTTTACAGAGTGGTACCAGTGATATATGGCAGGGGTAGACAGAGTGTCTTTCCGATGAGCTTCACGAATGTCCGTTATTGTATCCTATTTTGATTTCCCTATTTTGATTTGAGGATATAGAACTTATTGCTGCCTCTTATTTGATGCTGAATATAATTGATTTTCTGTTCAGCAACCATGTGGTTGATGGCATAATTGTAATTGTTTGTGTGTGATGCAATTTCTCAATGATGTCATCTGATCTTAAAGTGGCAATAAGGCTTGTAGAGAGAAAATAGGAATATTTTAACTTTTTCTGAGCTATCAAGGCAACAGTTGGCTTAACATCTTCTTCGTCATACCTATTTTCTTAAAATGTATGGATAAACTATCAATTTCTGCATTAAAAAGTGTAAGTTCAGTTCAAAGCTTCAAAAAGGGGACGTCCACTTTTATATTTTTAAGATCCACCATTTTTCAAGAGGAATATAAGCTGAAATAATGATTATCTAGGGGGTTTCTGTAGAAAATATCCAAACTTAAATATATTTTGACACTGGTCCATGATCGTTGAATGGCCCCTCTGCACTACTTATTGCACCTTTAAATTGCTCTGTGGTGTAACTCCTGTATATAACACAATTGACATAAGTTATATATTCTTTCTCATTTTAAACATTGCAACAGAGACCACAGCAATTTGAGGTATTTTTGAATTTCTGATTCTCAAGATAACAATTTAAACTTTTATTTCAAAAAAATCAGAAATAGAAAATCAAAAAGCATAAAAGGTAGGGTCGAAATTTTTTATTGCAAAATTGGGGGTGGCTAATTGTGAAGAGGCACTATCTTCAACCCCGGATCTTCATCATATTATTACAGGAAATATTTTTTTTATCCAGTAATTGGCACACAATATTCTGTCTGACATTTCCTTCCAACTCAGACAATGTCGTTATCATTCAATTTTCTACCTGCAACTTTATTTTATTGCTCAATATTAACCTGAAGGAAAATCAATAGCATAATATAGATAGATTTGTATGCAGGTTTGAAAACAACTGTATCATAAAATGCATGAAAACTGTAACGATGTAAATGATCTGACATACATGAAATGCAAAGCAATATTCATTGTCTGTCTGAGCTGAATGTGCTTTAAAAAGTCATGTAGTTTTTTGGATCAATACAAAATTTTCAGTCAGGGTGAGTCAGGGTGGCTTTACTTAACCCCCCCCCCCCCCTTCCACTTGCTCAATGTTGATTTATCTAGTAATATGATGGAACAGTTCCCTGTTTGAAAAAATACAAATAAAATAACATAACTAGAATTCTGAAATTGACAGTTTACTCCATCCATATAAATGCTCAATCTCAAATTGAAATCCTAGTCTTGCATTAAGCCCATGTTTAACATACACAAAAACAGTAACATTCTACACAGGGTAGGGAAATAAAAGATAGAATGGGGAACCACAGATACATCGATAGGGAAATACTTATGGGAGGGGTACCGAAGACTTTATGTAAGACTAATGTTTCCAGAGGAAATTTGGTTCCACAATTTTTCTTCAAATATTTTCAAAAAATGTCTGATGACAAAAATCAGTTGTTTCGTTTCAATGTTAGACTGCCAGTTAAATTGACAGTTAATATTGACGAGCTCGAACCTAATGACAGCTGTCATCCTTAACTGCTTTCACCTCAAGCTGGATAACAATTAAACAAGATAACAGTACAAAACTAGGTCCAATTATACGCTTTTCAAATAAATATAATCAGGAGCTCATTATTAAAAAATAAAAATATCCAATCGTGAGACTAGCTGTATTGATCAATAATGAAAATTACATTGATTATGAAAATGCAGTATTATAGTGTGTAATGTTACACTGTGACAGCTTGCTAAAAGTGTTCCACTACTTCAAAAATGTACTTGTGAAACTATCTTGTATTTAAGGGAAGCAACAGCTGAGTAACCTCTTCAATATTGGAGGTTTTGTCTCTAGCATTTTTTTCTTTCTTAATGATTGACCCTGTTAATATGAGCGATTCTTTGTTCATTTCACAACTGACACACATGTTTTCTTTGTAAATCTCAGGAATTGAACCATGAAAAGGAATTCACCATTCTAGATTTGATTTTTTCTTTGTAAATCATATCTCGTAAATCTAGACATTAAGTGTATAAAAGAAATTAAAATCCAATATTTGATCTACATTTATGAAGTTTCATAGTTCTAATCAATGCATAGTTGTATTGATGTTTTATTCCACATTTTGCAATAATCAGGAATTGGAAATGTCTGGAGTTAACACATAATGTAAAGAACAATGAAAATGTAATTGTCCACCATTTTGTTCAGCTTTAATAAAGAGAACCCATTTTGTTCAGCTTTAATAAAGAGAACCCATTTTGTTCAGCTTTTTTAAAGAGAAAGTGACAAGTAACTGAGAAAACTCCATGTGGTGTTATAAACTCTGAAAATTGTCATTAAAGTTTTGAAACAGTTGTGTTCGACACATTCAAGTCATTTGTTAAAAGTAAAAATAGTAAAACCAGAACCTAGTAAAATATTACTTCTGTTCTTGGTAAAACATCAATTATTTTTATTAATTTCATTTTCTTCTCACACAAGCAGGCTTATATTTCATGAATTAAAATTAGATTTTTCACCATAAAGCAATGTTTCATCCTTCCAATGATCAATTTTCTAATTGTACTGGCTGCTGTTTAAACATGATTTACAGGATCAAACAAGCACGCACTCTTGAGCTAGGGTAGTGTGATAATTAATTTGGATTCCATATCTATGTATTGAGAGTATGCATAAATAGCCATCATCATAATGCAGGCCTTGTGGCATGGTGCGGGTCTTAAAATCAGTTGAAAAAAACTTTAGAATGCCTGTGGGCATATTTGAATTTTGATTGATTTGTTTTAATGCTCTCATAATGACATTTTAACCTGTATTTTACAAGAGGCTATTGTCCTCTCAAACAAGTATCAATGGTCAGGGCGGGGTTGGAAGTGCTCACTAAATGTGGTATGTGGTCAGGATTGTCTCTTGTATTATAGAGATATACTTAAACAAATGGTTGCCTAGAAATATCTCAGAATTTCCCAGTCCAAGATAACAAATACTTGTGATAATTTGACTTAAGAAAGGAACACAATGATCATTCATTCTAAAGAAGGTCATGATTCCACTTAATAATGAAACATATTCAATTTCATTCATTAAAGACTCCTTCAAGAACATTTGAATGAATCTCAAGCTAAATTAACACATTAAATAAATATACAGGTTAATGTTACAAATTCTGAAATTGAGTGAATGTTTTTCAATAGCACTTAAGGTGACTGAATAGCTGGCTTCAGCTTTCATCATTTAATTAACCACTTTATTAGTATCCCAAACTTCAGGTATAATAGCTAGTTAAGCTTATTTAGATACTGGATTCAACATAGCTGGTTTCATGTGTAAATTGACTCATAGTTTTGCAATCAAAACTAAAACATAGAAGTCCTACACAAAGAAAGGTAATGTTGACAGTTTTGACATTTTGAAAATTTTGACATTTCAATATTTTATGTTATCATAATATAGAGTCAGTCAGAATATCAATATGCTATCGTGTACTAAAAATGGCCTTGGAATTATAATAATGCTGATCTCAATGATGAAAAAATCTTGATAACTGAATCAATAGCATGAGGATGGTGACATATGTTTTTTGCAATCCTTGATCAATATATGACAACTGATATGCTCCTTGATGTGCACAGCCTCCAAGTATGTTTTTGATCATATCTGCACACTGATATCATGACATATATAAAGTTGAGTCCGTAAGTCTGTGACAATACTGAGCATACTTTCCTTTGCATCTTCATAGGCATTCTGATTGAATTTTGAGAAATTGTTACTGGAAAAGGAAGTTATTTTTTGTTCTAAGAAGGCTGCCGTCAATCTTAATTTGTACGAACATGATTATGAATACACATCTATAATTATTAATATTACATAAATGAAAAAGATATTTAGAAGATGATGAAAACATTTCTGGAACGTGATGACATTTACTTTCACAGCAGGAATTTTAAACATTGGATCAATAGATGTAATTTTAATGCAACGGTGAATATTAAAAATCCATATTTGGGTAATAACTGGAACTTGGAGATTATATTAAGCAAGATGGAAAAATGGAAACTGATAATTAAATAATTGTTGCATATCTGTTTGACAATTTTGTTTATCTTTGACAGTTATCTGTTATACACCCATGGGGATTGTCACCTTCTTGTAGTTAAAGGATGTTTGTGTTTGATTAAGCCTTTGTTACACTAATCAGCTAGCCCAGTATCTTATTGGCTAGCCCTATGTCAATGAAAGATAGACTGACCCTTCAGGGGACACAAGTTGTAACTGACAGCATAATTAGTTAAAT